TAGTGGGCCCCCTGTCCAATCCAGGCAGCCCACCACTCAAGGTCCCAACAATAAATTGCTGCCAGGATTGTGAGTGAGCTCTCACCTGGATGTTTTAGCCAGTGGGCAGGGATTGCGGCACACCATAAAATTCAGCCAATTAAATTGAAAAAAAATTCTAGGAATAGGAGGTTATAAAGCAAAATAAAACTAGAAATATACTTAGTAGAGTAGCTGTAAATATGAAATTCAAATTTGAAAAATGTAAGAACCTTATCATTTGGAATAAATAAATGATTAGTCTCATCATACTCTCTAATTAATTGTTTCTCAAATATATTATCATTCTTCATATCCTGACCAACCATTTATTTCACTTGTTTCTACAATTAAACAATCAATGCATTTTAACATGAAAGCGTAGCCACTGTTTGTACAACCAGCACAAATAAGATATGCAAACAAGCAGTGAGGCAACTTTTAAGTAGTTTTGTTTTCTTTTTATCTTTTACATTATGTGGCTGTTAATTGCTAAGCCAGCATTTGGCCCATATCGAATTGCCCTTCCTTGAAGTGGCTTGCTGAGCCATTTCAGAAGGTTGTTCAGAGTCAACCATGTTGCATGGGTTTGAAGTCACATATAGGCCAGATCAGGTAAAGGTGACAAATTTCCTTCCCTAAAACATTAGCAACCACTTTTATTTTTAAAAAAAAAAATCCATAATAGTTTCACGGTCACCATTACTGAGACTAGCTTTAATGTTCCAGATAGAAACAGAAACCATTTGGCTCATTGAGCCTACTCCACCATTCAATATGATCATGGCTGATTTTCTATCTCAATGCCATTTTCCCACTTTCTCGCATATCTCTTGATGCCTTTAAAATCTAAAACTTTATCTATCTCTTTCTTGAATATATTCAGTGAATTGCTCTCCACAGTCTTCTGTAGTAGAGAATTCCACAGGTTCACCATCCTTTAAGTGAAGATTTATGAACTGAATTTAAGTTCTACCAGCATTTACCTGGGTCTGAATTACTATTCTAATGAAATTATCACTAAGCAATCCTCTTTCCTTAGATGGTATAAATACATCAGATCATATGTTGTTTCAATTACCTTTGTTTGAATTATTTCATCAGATATTGCATCATGTTAACAGTTTCTTTAAAATAAAACCTTGTCTGGAATTAGTAAAGCTGATTAAATTTACAAATCACTTAATGAATCTAAATTCTATATGAAATCAGTGCACAACAGAGAATAAAGCTTTGCGCTGGACTAAGTGTTCCTCCCAGTGAGAACTGTCAGTGAGACCAGCTGAATCCAAACCTTAAATACCAGTCGGCCATCCAATAAAGAAAATGTGGATTCCTATGAGATCATGTTGCAAGAGCAAGTCTGATGGCAGGAAGATCTGCATTACCTGATGGCTGTGCACAACATGCCATATTTAAAGGGCAATCAACCCCATCTCTGAATGGGGGCTTTTCTTTCTGGCTTCCTCTAAAAACTGCGTAGTTTAACTCTTCACCTTTCTAAGGGTGCCAGCAAGTAAATTGTAGCCTGTATCTTTCACTTAAGAAGTCTGTAATGACTTGGATTACAGAATCTGGCCAAAGCAGGCTTAGAAACAGCAGCTAATTAATCAATCAGAAGATCTCTTACTCACTTAGGAGACCTGTCATGGCATCAAAGTAGCATAACCAAGATTTGGAGGAGAAAACTTATTCATGGTTACAGGAATTATCAGCATACTGCATAACTTACCGGGACAGAAGAATACGTCTACAGGAAGGATTAGAAAATACTAAACTGTGAAGGAGTGGAAGCAACAGGACAGGCAACAGGGATTTGGAAATTATCAAAGCAGCAAAAGTGCTATTGTGGTGGGATCTAGTGTAAAAATAAAGAACCTGAAACCCAGAGTTGAATGGCTGCACATTCCTGAGTAATCAAAATTTTTTTTTTTAAATGCATAATTATTTCCTTTTTGGTGTTCTCTTCAATTGAATTTTTTACACTTTAAACACAAACAGATTAAATAGAGTCTGTAAGCAATTTACTTCTACATATCAAAACCAATAGTCAAAGTACAATGACTATATAAATTGTATTTTTTTCAATATAATAAACTCTGACAGCAGTGTGTTGTGGCAAATGAAAAATAGAATATGGCACGGTTTATAAACAGAAGGCTGTAAGAACACAGTAAGCCAGGCAACATCTGGCGCCTCGACCACACCATGAAACAAACCCACTCCTGCATTCACGTGACCTTCCTCAGCTCCTGTTCCAGATGCTGCCTGGCTTGCTGTGTTCTTCTAGCCTCCTGTTTGTCTACCTTGGATCCCAGCATCTGCAGGTTTTTTTTTTGTCTCTAATCAAAGCAAGGTTTATCATTTCATTTGGAAAGGCAAGAGGGCTATTTTCCAGAACAACACGGAGAAAGACTTTCAGGTACTTTCAAAAGTGACAAGGAAAGGGACATCATGGAATAAAGTGACAAATAATGTTAAGGGAAGGATCAGTAATTCATTGAAACTTCAAATTTCAAAACATAAAGTCCAACTTAAACAACTATTTTTAGTTTTCCTCCCACCATCACCATTTGGAACCAATAATTTTGTTATCATTTATTATTACAACAGATAGATATAGGAATACTGTATTGTTATTTAGGGCAAAATTTTATAGGGGCCTGAGTGATGTGGACTATGCCAAGACTTGTGGCAGAATCAGGCAAGATGTCCAGTGAGGATTACCTCAACGTTGGCAGCATCTCACCTCATCTGTTATATATTTGATGAATGGCAAGGTGAGTTTCTCAATAAACAGGAGTGAATTGACAAATGAAGGGGATTATTGCTTCTTAAATGTCTTATTAGCAGTCCAACCCACCTCATTAATACCCAACTTTCCACCTTAGCAAATGCACCAAACAAACTTGATGTCAAGAATTCTTGACAAGAAAGTCAAGCGGATACTTGGCAACTTCAACTTGCCGATTGCTCCAAAGGACCTCCACATTGGAACCCAAGCGCCAATATCTCAGGGCAATCTCGAGTGGCACTGCCCACATCCTACATCCACGGACATTGGCACCCGACATGTGCTGGCCTGGAAAGAACCCTTATGGCACATCTCTGATCCACTTATAGGACAGTTCTACACATCAATGCTGCACCAGCAACTCTCACTGTAACATCACTGAAAGCACACTTTGTGCTCAGGGTCACATACCCAGTTCATGGACTGGACCAGCTACATCTCCAGGCTCTGTGTATAACAGAGGTTCAGAGTGAGTGAATACTGTGTGGATGCTTGCAGTGTCACTGCCTTGCATTGCCTTGACTTGCATCTTGCCCTGAGTCAGAGATAGCAAGCTCATGTTACTTCTATCTTACGCCACCATTTGGCATAGACACAAAAGAGGAAGCTCATCATAACTGTAAGCAGTCAAGGGAGGTAGCCTTCTGCCAAGGGGTCCTGGCACAGTAAGTCAAAGGCAGCCTCTGATACCAGTTCAAGAGCTTGGACAGGGTCAGTGAGAGAGAAGATAGTGGCACCTATGCTGACAGAGTGCAGAAGACCATTGACCTTCTTCCTATATTGTGGGCATTCCTCCCGATTGTGATGGCACTGACTCAGGTGGCAACCTCAGGCCATGCTGGCATGGGCTGGTATCGTAGCCTCCACTGCTGGTATTGGAGGAAGAGGGCCTCCCACTTATGTACAACTGCCCAGCATAACCTCTATGTACCTTTGCACAAAGTACAGCATGAGCTTTCCTCTGCATGCCATGTCTGGAGCCACAGAACATTCAGCCCATCCTGTCCACACTGACTCAAAGACACCCAGATGCCCATTCTAATCCCATCTTCCTGTACATTCCATATAGCCCTGCAGCTTTGCAGCATTTAAGGTGCAAATCCAGGTACTTTTTGAAAGAGTTTAGAGTCTCTGCCTCCACCACCAACTCAGGCAGCGAATTCCACACATCCACCACTCTCTGAGTAGAAAAGGTTTTCCTCACGTCGCCTCTAATCCTTCTGCCACTTAGCTTGAATCTATGACCCATGGTTTTTGAACTCTCTGCCAAGGGAAACAATTCCTCCTGTCTACATTATCCCTACCCCTCACAATTTTGAATACCTCAATCATGTCATCCCCTCAGCCTTCTCTATTCCAAGCAAAACAACCTCAACCTCTCGAATCTCTCCTCATAGCTACAATTCTCCATACATAAAAAGCATAAGAACATAAGAAATAGGGGCAGGGGTAGGCCCGTCAAGCACGGTCCCCATTCAATCCGTACAAGGCTCATCTGCCCAGGCTTCATCGCTTCTCTCATACCAGCTCATCACAGCCCTCAACTGTGATATTTCAAACTCTATCACCTCTTGTTTAAATAATTTCAGTGATCTAGCCTGCACAATGCTCTGGGGCACAGAACTTCAGATATTCGTGAACTTCTTAGAGAAGAAATTCCTTCGTATCAGAGCTTTAAGTGAGTGTCCCTTTATTTTGTAACTATGCCCTAGTTTGAGGTTTTCCCATTAGTGGAATCATTTTATCAACATCTACCATGTCAAGCCCCATCAGAATCTTGTACACTGCAATAAGATCACCACTCATCCCTCTAAATTCTAATAAAGGTTGAAATTGTTCAGCCACACATAAGCCAAGTAGCCAATAGAAAGCATGATAAAACACTTCAGAAGTAACTGACTTTCCCTCAATGTGGCTCTTCTCGTCCATAGCAGGGTAGAAGCATATTTATAGTCCTGCACAAGCACAATGGGCTGAATGGCCTCTTCCCTTGTGGCTGACACCACAACAGACTGCACCACAATGCTGTATCTAATCAATTAAGACATTAATATGCCTCACAATTGTCACAACAATTAATGGGTCCTTATGATCATAGCTTGGAGCACCCATTAGTTGCACCAAGTCTTGAAAACAATATATACCAGTAATTTTCTTTCTTTCTATATAAAGTCAAAGATAAACCTACTCTGTAGTTGGTAAAGGCTCTTCCAAGAAGTATGGGTCCTGTAGAGCTTGCTCAGATGTAATCCTTTTTGTTGGATCCATAGTCAGGAGTTTCTGCAGCTGAAACAAGAGTCAGGTAAGCATTAACAATATGGTATTTGCAATACCAGAAATAGGACTTCACATTTCAGAACAGAAAATAATTAAACATAAAGGTTCAGACTGATTTTGTATTAATCAGGAAGGTGCAGGTGGAGAGCAAAACATTTGCAGCATATGAACACGAACCATTTTTGAACTGTCCCAATTTAATTAATGTACATAGCATCATAGCCAAGAGAATTTAGACAGCACTATCGAAATACAAGAAGGATACCATCAGCTTCTTTAAAATAAAGGAGAAAAATGCAACATGTGAACATAATAATGTCAGAAGTTTCAGAATGGGGACTCACTACTCTCTAAAGGACCATTATAAATACCATGGAGGTACACTAAGCAAATCAAATTCCAAATGCATTGCTGTCATATTTCTTCCTTGTTGATCTACTAAAATGTTATTCTACAGCTGCACGTTAATAACAAGAAATATTGCTGCACGGGATCCTGGAATACAAATCAATATTTCAATGTTTAGTATAACTTGCAACTCCTCAGATACTCAAGCAACAATCTGGTCAACATTCTGTCTGCATACGTATAAGGTAATGAGCATACCAAACAAATGAGAATCTGATTGTCTCCTCTTGACATTCAATGGCATGGCTATCACTGAATCCTCCACTATCAATATCACCATTGATCAGGAACTTAACTTGACCAGCCGTATAAATACGGTGTTAACAAAAGTGGGTCAGAAGCTGGATATTCTGCAGTAATTATTACTCAGAGGCAAGGAATTCTGCAGTAGGTCGCTTCCTGTCTACCATCTAGGATAGACAAGACAGCAGCTGCAACAACATTCAAGAAGCTCAACCCTATCCAGAACAAAGCAGCCTGCTTGATGGACACCACCACCATCAATATTTTTGGCCTTCACCACCCAGGCATGGTGGTAGCAGTGTATGCTACTTACAACAGTGCACTGCAATCACTCACCAAGATTTCTTCGGCAGCACCTTTCAAATGCGTGACCTCTACCACCTAAAAAGCCAACAGCAGCAGCTGCATAGGAGTATCACCCCATGTTTCAAGTTCCCTTCCAAGCTATACACCATCCTGACATGGAACTATATCGTTATTCCTTCACTGCCATCAGGTCAAAACCTGGGAACTGCCTTCCAACAGCACTGTTAAGGACTGCAGCAGTTCAAAAAGGTAGCTCAGTACCACCTTCTCCAGCGTCAGTAGGAATGGAGAGTAAATGCTGACCTAGCCAGTCACACCCACATCTCATAAACAATTATGAAAAAAAATAAAAGTCATGACATCTTACTGGGGTAGCATGCTAAAAATCAAGCCCTGCTGATCCCAGAGTTGTCATGGAAGTTAAAGATTTTAAATGAGTACACAATTACCCAATTTACCTGTACACCCAGGTTGCCAGAATGCATTGATTATCATACTTAATAAAGATTAGTATTTATTACAAACAAATAGATTCCAGCTATGGATAAACAATTATGAACCATCAATATAAGTAGCATAACTGCTTAAAATTCTAACTCCCTTTTAAAAATCCATCTACATGTTCATACAGACAAACACCAAATAAAATGCATGTGACAAACAGGAAGGGAGTGCAACGGAGCCTGTTCACAGAGTTCGCTGAGATGACCTTTTGGCTTGTCAGGACTTGCTGCTCCTTTATCTTTCATCTCCAGGTGTTTTCACTTCCAGAAGCCACAGAGCAGTCAATTCACACTTAAAAAGTCTCTAACTTATTGGTTAAAAGCTGACGAGAAGGAATAAACTGGCTTTCCTTGGACTTAGTGTTTTTTACTGAAGAGAAAAAGGCAGCTACTTCTTCCTCACAGGTACAAACATTCACACGCATGAGTTGTTCAGCTACCTAGTATCAGATCACAGTTATTGACAAGCAGAAGGCCTTTGCTATCTACAACTGGTCAACACTGCACAGACTAAATCAGCTACTTGTTACCAGCCAAATCTCCCTTCATACACATCTCTTGGCACTAGCTCGTCTATAGTAACTTCCCCATTGCCAAACAAACAGCAGTGTAAATAATGAGTGTCAGGTAACTTGTATTTAAAAAGTGTAGTAATGTTTCCTACAATACTTCTTTTTCTTTAAGAATGCCCTTTGTCCATTTCAGTCCATAATTAAAAAATAGAGAAAACTACATTTTTTTCTTCACAAATTCCAGACACTGGGCACTTATGTCTGTCAGACTCAGAGGTTCTTGCTTCAAATATGTTGGCAGAAGTTCTGTGTGCACTTGATGGTGTTACTTGATGAATTCCTGTTGCTTCATCCTCCTTTCCTCTGAGTGATGTAAAAACCACGAGGATGAAGGCATCTGAACATGAAAAGATAGCATTGTGTCCCAGAGGTATGTCCAAAGCCACAAATACTACAGAAGATTGTAGGCAGCCACAATGCACAACGTCAGAAATAGAAGCATATGGCCATGACGGAATCCTGTATGACTGAACAAGATCGCTTCTCATTCTTCTAAGCTTCAATCAAAATAGGGTCAACCTGCTCAGCCTTTTACTCCACCTGCTAAATGTTTCCCCACTCACTTAACCTATCTATATGTTTGTGGACTCATGAATTGCTCCTCCCAACTTGCTTTTGTTTGTATTATCAGCAAAGGTGGCTATATCACTTAGTCATTTCATCTAATTTATTAATATAATCATGAATAGTTGAGGTCCCAATATAGATTGCTGTGGCACTCCACTAGTTCCAGTATACCAAGTTGAAAGTGAACTATTTATACCAATTTTGTTTGATGTTAGTTAGCCAATCCTCTATCCATGCTAATATATTATCTGCAACATCATGAACTCTTGTCTTGTGCAGTAATCTATTTTATGACACCCTTTCTGATGGCTTGTGGAAATCCAAATGTACTACATCTTTTATTCATACTGCTGGATACATCCTCAAAGAACTCTAACAAATATTTGTATTGTTGAACAAAAGTCATTTTGTTGAAGCTTTTCAACAAGCACTCATCAGAACAATAAGCAAGAATTCCAATTCAAGAGGAAAACAACATTTAGACTGTATGGAGAGGGCAATGCTGATTGTTGGCAAGTGGATTCTGATTGTTAGAGGTGCTGCCATAGAGAACATATGAGTTCATGGTGTCTGACAATTAACTGCCAAGGTTTGTTTAAATTTTAAACACAGCAGGTTGACTTTGGTGGGTCAACACTGAAAACTGAACCTGAGAATGGTTACCATCTATTTTGTTCAGTTCAAAATAAACACAGTGTATGTAAGTGTTCTTTCTGTCTGCAAAGAGGAGGACCTATATATTGATGTACATAGTTCCCAGTCCCAAAGACTACAGGGTCATACCAAACAGCAAATACGTTCAGCAGTTCATAACAACCAAGAAACTGACTTTACCTAGCCAGTCTGTACTTGTAAACCTCACAACACAATGCCCAACATTAAACGTGATTCTGTAATTGGACAACATTCGGTACATAATCCTCAGGTGTGTGAAGAATTACTACACCCAAGCTGGGATTGTCAGTCAGGCTCACTGTTTACTGTGTACTAGAAGCTGCATTTATAACTAGCCATAAATAGTGTATTTTTCTCAGTTTTTCTTTCTCAGTTCAACTCCCTTTCCAAAGGCAGAGTCTATACATCAAATGAACTACAGTGGTCCAAAAAAGCAGCTCACCACCAACTTTCTCAAGGGCAACCTGGGATAGACAATAAATGAGATAACAAGGTGTAGAGCAAGATGAACACAGCAGGCCAAGCAGCATCAGAGGAGCAGGAAGGCTGACGTTTCGGGCCTAGACCCTTCTTCAGAAATGCATTTCAGTCCATTTCTGAAGAAGGGTCTAGGCCTGAAACGTCAGCCTTCCTACTCCTCTGATGCTGCTTGGCCTGCTGTGTTCATCTTGCTCTACACCTTGTTATCTCAGATTCTCCAGCATCTGCAGTTCCTACTATCTCATGGACAATAAATGTTGGTCCAACCAGCAATACCCACAATCTATGAACAAATCTTTTTAAAAAATTGTTGAGAGTTATGAATTATCTGTTTAAATTCCTGCCATTGCTTCTCCACCATTTTATCTTTCATCCTATTTATCCTGTACACTTTAGCTAACCCTGCTTCCAAACTCTCGCAATTACCTTAAGTTTCAAGCAACAGACTGAAACGTATATTTCTCACCTATTATGATCGCTCTTGCCTACAAAATCATTTTCTGGGAAAATAATGAGTTAATTAATTAATTATCTTATCTCATTATCCCTTATGGAGTCTAATATAACCTGCTCCCTGGTTGGTCCCAGAATATATTGTTCTAAGAAATTGTTCCAAATAATTCCTATAAACTCTTCCTCCAACATGTCTCTGCTGATATGGCTCCATCAACTTCATAGCACTCTTCATTTCCACCATTTACATTTTTAGCTGGTCATACTAGCTTCTCCACTGGCAAATTTCTAGTACTTTAAGACCTCCTCCTCTTTCAAAATCTTCCAGGAAATCAAGGTGCTCACATATTGGACATTTCTCTGATTCAAGTTCTTTACAACCCTGGTGAGGTACTGAGCCAGAGTCAAGCTCAAAGTTTGATTCTGGGATTCAAACTTCCATTCTGCCAGTTGTGCAAGAATTCTGACTCCCTGAACCAAATGGACTTTTCCTAATCCATTAAAGATTTATTAGAGGATCAATCTCTGTGAGGCTCTCCCACTTATCCACATAAGAAATATCCCTTTGAGAAATTCTTTAGAAAAAGCTTGCGGGAATAACTTACCAGAAGAAATACTTTACTGTCAGGCTTGACTTTGTGTTTCTCCATATATTTAATGAGGCTGCTGTTAGCGTAGCTGAATAAAAGACAAGATCAACAAGTTAGACTTTGATATCTATTTAGCTCCAAGTGGACAAGACAACCCCAATGTTTAGTGTAGACGATTTGCTGTTGGGGATTCACTGCTATGTTTACTATTCTTCACCTTGCAAGTGACAACAACAGCATATCAAAAACAAGCAGATGATAAACCCAGTGCACAATCAAACATCTCTCCAGCTACATTTGCCTGTCTTCTCTCTCATTCAAGGTACAGTTTGGCTGGAGAGACCAACTAAATAAACTAAAATAATACACAAAGATCATTTTTTTGTTGTTTACTATTTGTTATAACTCCCACTACAGTAGCTCTGATAAAAACAAATTACAATGGCTCCAGTCATAAAGTTTTTCTAAAAAGTCATAAAAATGTTCTGCCTAATAGACTGAGCCTGATATTCCTCTTCGTGGATAGGAAGGCAGAGGCAGAAACAAAATATATTTTTTAAATACTATTCTCACAATGTGGGTGATGTAGGAGACTCTGCTTATTATCTGTCCCTATCCACCTTCTTTCCTCAACAGCTATTATTTTTGCTAGCTTATTTCAGTGTGGGACTGGATTGTATCAAACTGGGAAAGACAGTGTTCCCCTCTCTGAAAAGCATGAAAAGAAAATTGAATTGCATTGTTACTTTCTCTGGTGCCAGTTGACAAATTCAAAGATTATTGAATACAGTTTCACAACTTACAATGTACAGCCAGTACATTATTGTAAATGCTAATTGTATAAGTTGAAGTTAAGCAGATACAAAGTAGAGGTCATTGATTGGCTGATTGCTTCAACCCATACAAAAAGACAGCTTTGACACTGGTAAAGCAGTTAGGAATGATACACTTGTAATGTTTTAATCTACGCTTTTATTAAAAAATCTATGATTAAATCTAAAACTGAGTAAAGATTGTGCCTAATCTTCTACATCACAAACTGACTGTCAGAAGTTTAAAAATACACTGACTGCACCTTAAAAGCAAAACCTTATTATAATGTAAATTGAGACTTTTGTTGCTTAGTGCCCCAAGATAAGAAATTGCTAATAAATGATAATTATTTGCAAAATGGGCATCATGAATATTAAAATACATGTTGCCAATGAGGAAAAGACATTTTAATTTCCTCAGAATGTTAGTGGTTTACTAACAAACCTGTGCTATTCAAGTTTTAGATAACTTTCTGGTAATCCCTGCATAAAAACAAAGTCCAATATAGCTTCTTATATTTTGGATGTACAGATTTTGTAGGTTCTGTTCAGAAAAACAAATTGAAATTGCCTCAAATAAAGCTTCAAAAACAAGAATAATAGGGAAAACTGCAATCTGAGAGTGGTATGATTGTACCTCATTGCACACCATCTCCAGCATTCGTTGTATTTTGCTTCTACCGAACTTTTCTAATCTATTTTCATCATGCAAGTTTTCAGCCCTGAAACCATTACTGTAAACTTTTGCACACTCTCCAATGTATTCACATCCTTCCTGAATTGCGGCACATAGATGCTATTCACAATATTTTTGCCGGGGGCAACCAGTCTGCTATATTAGATTGATATAACTTCCTTGCTCTTGTACTCTGTGTTCCTATTATTAAACCTAGGATACTGCATGATTTGTCAATTGTTTTCTGTACCTGCCCTGCACCTTTAATGATTAATGTTAATATACACACAGATCTTTGTCCTCCTGCACACCCTTTAGAACAGTAGTCTAATTTATATTGGTACAAAGATCACAGAGAAACAAAGTGGGGGATCAGGACGTTAGTTCATTTGGCTGGGCAGCTGGTTTATGGTGCAGAGTAATCCCAACAGTCTGGGTTCAATTCTTGCACTGGCTGGAATACTGTGAAAGGACTCTCCTACTCAATCTCTCCCCTCACCTGAGGCGTGGGTGACCCTCAGGTTAAACCACTACCAGTCATCTCTCTCTAACGAGAGAACAATGCTATGACCCAGTAGGACCAGTAGGGTGACTTTACCTTTTACCAAAGTGTATCACTTCACACTTCTCTGCATTGAACTTCATCTGCCACCTGTCTGCTCACTGTTTTGAAATTCTCTACTGTCCTCCTCACAGATTCTTACACTCCCAAATTAGTATCATCTGCAAACACTGAACTTGCTCCCTGTACATGGAAGGGATATGGGATGAACTACCAGAGGAAGTGGAAGATGCAGGTACAATTACAACATTTAAAAAATATTTGGACAGGTACATGAATAGGAAAGGTTTAGAGGGATATGGGTCAAACACAGGCAAATAGGAGTAGTTTAATTTGGGAAACCTGGTTGGCATGGACAAGTTGGACCGAAGAATATGTTTCCCTGCGGTATAACTATAAATCGATTTATTTCTCACTGTTTCAAAAGATTTCTCCTTATTTTCTGCTGATATCCTTTAATTTCCATTTCTGTTCCAATGCTTTATTGAATTTCACCCTCTTGTCTCAGGATATTTCTCACACTCTATTCACATTAGCCATTGTCTTTCCCACTGCTCAATTTACTCATTCTCCAAATCATTGTCATTGGTGGATTCACACCATTGCAATCTCTTCCAGTCCTCTTGAAATTATGTAAATGCCCAAGAATGTAAGTCTTTCCCTCCTGCTTCACCCATGCAGTAGGCTTTCAGGGCAGCACGGTGGCCCAGAGGTTAGCACTGCTGCCTCACAGCGCAGGGACCCGGGTTCAATTCTGCCCTTGGGTAACTGGCTGTGTGGAGTTTGCACGTTCTCCCCGTGCTCCGGTTTCCTCCCACAGTGCAAAGATGTGCAGGCTAGGTGGATTGGGCGTGCTAAATTGCCCATAGTGTTCAAGGATGTGCAGGTTACGTGGGTTATGAGGAACGGGTCTGGGTGGGATGCTCTGACAGTTGGTGTGGATTTGTTGGGCCAAAGGGCCTGTACCCACACTGTAGGGATTCTATATTTAAAAAAAAGTGCTGGCAAATGGGATTAGAATAGATAGATTATTGATGACAAGTGTGTACACAACAGGCCCAAGGACATTTATTCGTACTGTCAAGGAGCCTGTCAAAAAGCTCTACGACACAAGTGTTGCACAATATCCATCCCAGACACCAGAATCAGACAGTGGTGGGCACTTTAAAACTTACGTTGTTCTCCTGAAGTCTTTCTGCAGAGTTGGGTATTCGGGCATCTTGCGGATGTCTTCCCAGTCTTTATCTTGCAAAAAGAGAACAAATATGTACCAAGGACACGTGCATGCAATATTTGCAAAACAGATTATTCCCTTCAACTTTCATAACAGTCTGAAAAACATGCTACAAACTGGGGTTGTTTGAATCATGTTGGAGATCAAGTAGGAGTTACTTTTGATTCTACCACACGGTAAACTCTTCAACTCAAAACTCTGGAATCCAGAAATACGCATCTGGAATTTTTTTTCAGCTAGCCTCAACTTTTAAGCATCATTTGGGACACTGCAATAAATTGGCAGTAATTCAATGACTGACTGAATTATTGTCTAGAGTGTGGAAAAGAAACAGTCAGATGGCTTAGTTCTGACATGTTTCTGCTCCTGTCTGCCTGTTGGACAGGCTCTTTGTCCCAGGCTAATTGCATTTTGACAGGAATGGCCAACTTAATCAAAGTGGGAGAGACAGGGTCATTAATATTGTGTGCGGTGTGGGGTGTGGCGGTGACTACTGTGTCCTCTGTGTATATGTTTAGGAAGGAGGGGCTAATTACTGTGTGTGTGTGTCTGTGTGTCTGTGTGTGGTGTGTGTATGGGATGAAGTTGTTATTGTATGCGTTAAAATAAGATCAAATTAGCAAACAGCTTGGGAAGCACTGACATAGAAGAAGAAGATTAGGTAAAATCTTGAGATGATCGCAAGTATCTTCAAATTTATATTATGAATGCACTGACATTTACAAGCTTTAAGAGAACTTTTATAAATAAGAACACTACTTAATTGTTGACTACGTTCAAGTTTATTTCGGACCCCTGATCATTAGTTAGTGCATCCATCAGATTTTCAAATGAATGGATATGAAAATGGACACTTTTCTGATATGGTAGAATCAAATTAGGTGGAGATAAGAAATAGCAATTAATAGAAGTCATTTGTGGGAGCTGTATACAGACCTTCTAATAGTTAATAGACAGTAAGGTAGAGTATGCATCAAGAAATAATGGGGGCTTGCACGAAAGATACTGCAATAATCATGGAAAAATAGTGGCAGCCATTCAAGGAGGATTTTCACAACTTTCAAAAACTTTCCATCGTGGAAGAAAGACTCAAACAGAAAGTGGTATAATCTGTGACTGGCTGAGGAAATCGGGTTGGAGTTTATTAAATTGAAAGAACAGGTTTACATGCTGTGAAGATTAGTAGTAGGGCAGAAGATCTGGAAAGGTTTAGAAATCTGCAAAGGATATCTTAAAAATCATTCTTTTAAAAAAAAGAATTTGGACTATGAGAGAAGACTATTAAGAAATAAAGAAATAAACAGTGAATGCTTCTACAAGAATATGAAAAGGAGATAAATAGTTAAAAGGAATATTAGGCCCCCACCAAGGGAGTGGTGGTGGTGGTGGTGGTGGGGGTTCGGGGGGTGGGGAGGTTGCTGTAAGTAGAATTCGGGGAACTAGTAGTGCCAAACCAGGGAACGATAGAGTTTGAACAAGTATTTTGTATGACTTTATAGTAGCAAACAAGAAAAGCATTCTGACACTAGCTGAAAATCAAGAGTCCAAAAGGCTGAGAAACTTCGAACAAACGCGAATACTAAAGAAAAAATAAAAGAATACTAAACAAGACTTATTGCTGGTAAGTGCCCTGGACCTGATGAGCTGCCTTCTAGGTTCTTAAAAGAAGTGTAAAGATAGTAGATGCATTGGTTGTAATTTTTGAAGATCTCCGAGGGCAGGATTTTCTGGATGATGCAATTTCCTACTCCCAGTGGCCAAAGAATCAGCAACAGCCTCATACCAGTAATACGTTTAACGCTCCAACATCAATAAAGTGCCATGTAAAAGGTTACTACTCAAGATAAAAATATATGGTATTGGGGTTATATATTAGCATGGATAAAGGACTGGCTAACTGAGCTATTTTCAGATTGGCAAATTATAACTGGACAATCATTTACAACTGGGCTCAACTATTTGTGGTTTAAGTAGTGGAAGGGTGTATAATTTCCAATTTGAAGAAGTGGTTCACAAATTGAGAATTTTAACAGATTAATATCTTAACATTCTTTGGTTTTAACCTCTCAGTTTTGAAATCTATTATTTACATTCTAAGCATTCATGCTGACTGATGTCATGATATACATGCTTTGCATACTTCTGGAGGATGCTGTGTTTGCACACTAATGCATTCAAATACAAGATCCCGTGCTATTCACCTCACAAGTGTGCATATGCACTACCAACACCACTTTGGAGCCCTAAAGCTACTAGTAGCATCCAAAAAGTAGATGCCAAAGAACCCAATTCCTCACCCATTATATTACCTGTGAACCTGCTGACTGTTCCTTGAACGCCCACATCCAGATAATTATTAAAGTGAAGAGCAATGATCCAAATACTGATGCCTACAGGAATCAACCAGCAGCTGACTCCATGCAGAACCACTACCATCAATTACATCCCTGTGCATTTAAGCATTAAATTATGCTTTGTCCATCCTAGAGTCTGCCCTCTAATTCCATAGGACTCAACTTGGTTAATTAGCCTAACCACCACTGCCAAACACTGAAAGAGAAATCAGACAAAATAAAACTTTTAAAACACAAGCACAGCAGCAAACATGACTGAACCTAAATGTTTACAGGAAATTGAAGACATTCTCCTTTATTAATAATTATGATTGTAAATGGTTCTTATTCTCGGTAAAGGAAGAAAAAAAATTGACAATTAAAAAATAATTCTGGCCGAGCAGTATGATGACATTCTTATTCTATTGACCATTTTAGTTCAGATTCAAGGAGACTAAAGTTAATCAGCTGCCTCTGAACTATTAAATGCATCAATCTTATCCTGAGAACAGAGGTGAAAGCTGGGAGTTTTCATTTTAGAGTATAGTGCTGGATGTGTTACAGGTCATCACTTCCACCAGGCCTCGGATGAGTTTTCTTGCTCGATCAACCGCTTTTCAGATCATTACACATCCATGTGAGTTGTTTCATGAGTTTAACCGTGAAACCTTTGGGGCAGGTGGGCAGGACATTCTACTCCATGCTGGGACCTTCTGGCACTAGAGGATCAAGGGCCATATTTTCCTATTTTCTTTGTTTCTACTTGAAGGTAATGTGGTCAGGCCTTCACTCACTGCAAGTCTATAGCTCCACTGTTGGGGTACCTACACCAAATGGGCTGCAACAGTTCAAAAAGGCAGCTCACTACCATCTCCTCAAAGGCGACTAGGGATGAGACACAAATGATGACCCAGCAGCAACTTAGAGCTAAAGGGATCAAAGAACATGGAAGAAAAGTGGGAACAGACTATTGAATTAGATAAAAACCGTTCTGACGAAGGGTAACCGGACCCAAAATGTTAACTCTGATTTTTTCTTCACAAATGCTGCCAAACCTGCTGAACTTTTCCAGTAATATCTGTTTTTGTTATTGGCTAACTCAATCAGCCATAACCATAATGAATGGCAGAACAGGCTCGAAGGGCCAAATGGTCTACTGTTGCTCCTACTTTCAGTTTCTCAAACCCCTGGATGGACAGAGCCTCAGTCTCACTCCACTAAACCCCAATCCCCTTTACAGTGTGCCCTTTAACATGAGCCACAAACAGCTGCTGTGTATCCATTAACAAGGTCTTGCATCACAGGCATTCTGCGCTCAGTCAACTGGGGCTCTACCATGCCCTGCAGAAACAGTCTACCTCCTCCTTTTAACCACTTGGACTTTAACGTGACACCTAGCCATAACCTTCCTTTCTCTCCTTCAATAATTTAACCGTATTTGGAGAGCTTACAACACAACTCAATGCAAAGGTCATTTACAGCTATAGGACAGAGCAGCAAATACTTAGCCCTGAGTCCAGGACAAAGTGAATATTGTCAAATTTATGACTTTCTTAATCGAGTTTAAATTAATTAGGAAAGCTGATTTAATTTTAGTGAGTTGTGGTTTTAATGAGCTGTTAATCCATGTAGATAAGTGTTTTGACACTTTCAATTTTAAGGTATCTCAAAATGACTTTCATCCAAAGTAAGAAGATCCATGTGTTGTGTAAAGCATATTCTCACTCCTGTACTTTGGAACACTTCAGCGGTCAAGGGCATTCAGCCTCTGATCTTCGGGTAAGTGTCCTCCAATGTGGACTCTGAGATACACAACAAAGCAGAATCGCTGAACAGAGACTGATAGCCAAGTTTCGTACCCAATAATACGGCCTCAACCTTGATTTTGGGTTCATTTCGCGCTACAAGTGACCCCCCCAAACCATTCTCGATCTGTAAAATCTTCCTTATTTTGCTGTTTTGACAGCATGACCTTGATATATTGTTATGATCTCTTTACCTTAACTAGTTTGTACAGTTTTGAATTACTTATCACTCACACACACACACACACACACACACACACCATTTCATCCAAATGTTTGTTTATTTGCAGATACGTTCTATTTTGTTCAAAAAACAATTTGTAGTCAGTCAGTGTGGCATCTTACAAATCTTTTGGAATAAAACACCCTGATTCCAGGTTAAAACCCTGAGACAGATTCTGAACAAAGCCTCACACCTACAATTCTGTGTCTGACCCGAGATGTCACCGTTTGTATATTCCTATGGCTCTGCCTGTTTGTCATGCCAGCACAGCACTGACATTGATTTTATAAACACTTCACACATCATCTAACACTCCTGGTCACCTGCAGAGACTTATCATCTGACACTCCACTCACACCAGTTGTATGATCTTTTGATCTCCCTGCCCTTGATCTCTCTGACTGCGTGCCTTGCTCTCTCACTGCACCTGACGAAGGGGCTGCGCTCTTAAAGCTTATATGATTCCAAATAAACCTGTTGAACTATAACCTGGTGTCGTGTGACTTCTAATTTCTCATACTTTGTAACTAATGCTTACTTACTTTTGCTGATAAAAGATCTTACAATGAGGACACTGTACCTGAAACTGGAGTGAAAACTTATCCCACAGTACATGTAAAAGACGGCTATTTTCTATATACCATTTTTGTAAGTCAAACTGTTGAAATGCTTGATTGGAATATTTTAACAACTTTTTATCAAAACAGTCTTATTGGTAATAGAATTGTTTTATTGTTTATAAGCAGATCCAATGTATTGTTTTGCATACAAATAGGACAGTGTGAGCTTCCATTTTAAAAAGAAACAAGAGGGCATATATTGTTTTTTGGCTGAAATGTACAGCCTTCTTGAAACACTGGAAATAATATTAATGTTGCAATTGACAGAGCACTGTACAATACCCACGCCCTCAACCTTAGTATTTATGTAGTTTTAATCCTAGCATGCAAGGATATTTAAGTAAAAATTAAATCCACTACCTGATTCCGGAACTGGAAAAATAAATTAGGAAGAAAGATTGGATGAACTGGGATTGTTCTCCTTAGATGGTGGTTGAAGGTTTGATGTACAAAACTGAGAGGGGCCCAGACAGAGTGGAGAAAAAAATCTATTTATCTTGGGCAAGGACAAATGACCAACTGGCACAGATTTAAAGTGATAGGCAGAAAGATTAGAGGGGATACAAGGAAAATGCTTTCACTGAGTGGGTGGTAAGGACCTGGCACTCATGCCTGAAAGGGCGGTGAGTCAGAGACCATTTAAAAGGTGTCTATAATCCATCTCAGATGCAATAACCTGCATTGCTACAGACCAAATGCTGGGATTAGGCTCTGTGGCTCATTTTCAGGCAGTGCAGATACTTAAGAGCACAAGAAAAAGGAGCAGAAGTAAGCCTTTTGGGCACTCAAGCCTGTGCCATCATTCAACAAGATCATGATCATGTGCTGCAGGCCTCAACTTCTCTCTTGTGCCAGCTTATCATAACTCTCAACTTCCTGATATTTCAAAACTCTGCCTACATCCTTTTTAAATATTTTCAGCAATCTAACCTCCACAACTTCTGGGATAGAAAATTTCAGATATTCACTACCCTCTGGGAGAAGAAATTTCTTTGCTTCCCAGTTTTAGAAGAGTGTCCCCCAATTCTGTAACTATGTCCCATAGTTTGAGATTCCCTCACTAATGGAAACACATTGTCAACATCTTTAAGTTCAATAAGGTCACCTTTCATTTTTCTACATGCTATTGAATACACCTCACCTTTTTAACCATTTTTATCCCAGGAATTTAGTGAGTCTCTTTTGAAGTGCCTCCAATGCTAGTATATCAATTTTTAAACACAGGGATCAAAATTATACATCACCCTAAATATTTGTAACAAAACTTGTTTTCAAACACCAGCCCAGTAGCAATAAAGACCAAAATTCCATTGCATTTTTAACTACTTGCCGTATCTGCATGCTAATGTTTTATGTTTTGTGTGCAAAAATATCCAGGTCCTTTTTTTATTCCTTTCTGGGTTGTCAGCATTGCTGGCTGGCCAGCATTTATTGACCATCCCTAGCTGCCCATACAAGGTGGTGATGAGCTGCCTTCTTGAACCACTTTAGTGCATGTGCTGCTGGTAGGCCCACACTGCCCTTTGGGAGGGAATTCATCCCAGGATTTTGACCCAGCAACAATGAAAGAATAGTAATATATTTCCAAGCCACAATATGCAGATTTTAGAGTCTCTCATCATTTAAGTATTAGTTTTTCTTCTTCACACCAAAGTTCATAACCTCACACTTTTCTCCATCTGCCAAGTTGTGTGTCCATTCACAACCTACATCCTCTTGGAGATTCCTTAAATCTTTATCACAACATGCCTTCTTATCTATTCTACCCTCCCACAACATGTCCATCTTTCAATGGGTTAAGTGGTCTCATACTGTGCCATAATTTTGTTTTGATTCGATCTCTACATATAATTAATTCATATTTCTATTTCACCTTACAACGAGGAGGTTGGATTTGTGTTCAAATTTAGATCAATTTTCCCCGACATAAAATATCACATAGAAAGGTTAATCTAAAATCTTTGATATCTAAATAATCTTGTATTACCTAATAAGGATACCTTGTTCAATAACGTATTACAGCATTGAGTATCCCTCCTTTTAGGACCTCCAATTATTAGACCAGTGTAGGTTTCACTTCAATGTAACAACATAAAAGCTTTATTATAAACTACATCAAGCCTATTTCCTGCTTGAAATTCTAGTAAGCATCAAGAAAACAAACTCACCAGCCGGAAATCCCATAACACTGAAAATACGATCCAATTGATCATGGTGAAAAGGATTACTTGTTTTGATATCTTCCTGGCGACAATGAAAAATGGGTTCTGATGTCAAAAGTTCTGCAAAAATGCATCCAATTGCCCAGATATCTAAATTAAAAAGATGAGAAATAAAATGAGACAGAAAAGTACAATGAAAAATTCATTTATCCATAACGTGTTTGCGTTATTGTTCTGATAGTTCTATTGTGGTATAAGTTTTCAATTAATTCTGTTCAAATGGAATTCTACAGGAAACAAGTAATATACCTTTTGGCTTTACAATATCTAGAAAGAAAATAATATACTATACCCTGTCAGATCCTTCGTAAATGTGCCAATTGAAGATGTTGACTGAAAAGGTCAAAATTGTCTCATCATTCTTGCTATTTCAGGACCAAATAGCACCATGATGGGCTGGTATTTGCAAAATAGTAAACGTATAGGAATTCTGAAATTATCTATTGTGACCATTTCAGAAAGACAAAATAACTGCACAGGTTTAAGATTTGGAGATGTAAAGTATGTTTCTGTCCTTACAATGAAAACCTGTTTACATAGATGACCTTTTGGGGATAAGAGTTCATCTGCATCTGGCCAGATGTTTTACTGGTTACTGCTGATACAAAATAGTAGCACTGATCTCTCCCTCACTCAAGAAAAATCTATTCAAAAACAAATGTAAAACTCAAGAAAGGGTTTTCAGCTTCCACACAATCTGAATGCAACTTACCTCAGCTGTATAAGCATATTGAAGGAATGAAGCAGAGTGTAGCACATAACTGCACACTGAATTACACAGTGACATTTGATGTCTGAAAAAAGACTATTCTTTGTTAGGCAATAGTTCATAATTCTCGGAGACTAAAAAAGAGGATTTTTTTTTGAAAAACTGATTTCTGAGGTGTATTTGGATGTCAAACGATATGATCATCTGGGGTCAACGAGAGTGAGAAAGGCTACTTCCAGTTTTAACAAAGGTTGGTGGGATGGAGGTTGGTGAAGGATGGGAGTGTTGCAGGCAAATCAATCCATTCTCAGGAGACTGTGTACTCTCATTTTAATTCATTTCTTATTTGTTACTTCCCCAGGCTGGATGTCCAGAGGCCAAGCTATTTGGTGGATGAACAGAGGCAATGGGGGCCAGATTCATGAGCGAAATACCTTTATACACTGCTCATGGGCCAGGAAGAACAGGAGGGCATACAACACCCCAGCCCATCATGGCAATCAAACAGACATCCTCTCATCACTAAAGCCTCACAAGGTACACAGAACCATATGAAATAGAGTAGCCGTAGGCCATTCGGTCCCTCAAGGCTGCTCTGTCATTCAGCAAGATCACGGCTAATCTGACTGTAACCTCAATCCACATTTCTGCTTACCCCTGATAATCTTTCACCACCTTACTTAACAAGAATCTCTCTACCTCTGTCTTAAAAAATATTCAAAGACTCTGTTTCCACCACCTTTTCAGAAAGTGAGTTCCAATCTTCTGAGAGAAAAAGATAATTGTCTCATCTCTATTTTAAATGAGTGACCCCTGTTTTTTGAACTGGGACATTCTCCTATAAAAGAAGATATCTCCACATCTATCCTGTCAACATCCATCAGGATCGTACATGTTTCAATCAAGTTATCTCTTACTCATCTAAACTCCAATAAAAACCAGCCTGTTCAACTTTTTCTCATAAGACAGTCTGCACATTCCAGGTAATAGTCTAGTAAATTTTCTCTAAACTACCCTCCACAAATTTGCAATTTTCCTTCAATAAGGTCATCAATACATTGCACAGTACACCAGAGGTAGTCTCACTAGCACCCAAGCTAACTGAAGCAAAACCTCCCCATTTTTGTTTTCAATTCCACTTGCAATAAAAAAAATTCTATTAACTTTCCTAACTACTCATTGTACCTAAATATTAACCTTTTGCATTCTTGTACGAGGATACCCAGACTTTTTTTAATCTCAGAGCTCTGCAATCTCTCACTATTTAAAAGTATGCTTCTTTTTTTCATTCTTCCTCCAAAATGAACAACTTCACATTTTCCCACATTTGACTCCATTTGCCACATCTTAGCCCATTCACTTAACCTATCTAAATCTTTTCTAGCCTCCTTGTGTCCTCTTCAAACCTTACTTCCCCACCTCTCTTTATGTCATCAGAAAAATTTTGCAACCATATCTTCCATTTCTTTATCCGAGTTACTTCTGTAAATTGAGGTCTGAAAGCAAATTCCTGTCACACCCACTCATTACATCTTGCCAACCTGAAAAAGTCTCACTCCTCCCTGATTTAGCAACAAAGTTCCACAGCCCTACAATATTCTATCCATCCCACAATAATCAAAATTTACTCTTGACCAATGTTCAACTAGCAATGTCCGATGCTCCTCTGAATGTTCATTAACCCTATGAAACTGCTGATTTGCTATCTGCTCCCCAGCTGTCAGGAGGCTTTGAATCTGGTTGGCTGACATGAGAGAGAATTGTTGAGATTCCATCATCCATCATTCCTGTGTTCACTGATCGTAGGCTGATGGTCTATCTCTACCTAAATTTTACAATTCTTGTCATTGGCTAGAATTTCACATGGAATGAAGTTATAGCAAGATGGCTGCCACATGTCTGAGTCATTATGATCTGATTTTATGGTCACAGCCTGTAAATGAGCTTAAGGAGGGCATTCCAAACCGATCTGGGAGCTATCAGTCAATCAGATAACTTACAGCTATCTAGTCCTAGCATCGTTATCGGGAGCATTGCGAACTGCACAGATAGTTCCCAACAATATTCAATGGAACTGGATTAGAAAGTAAATTTGAATCTCCTACTGCGGCCAGTCTGGAAAACCCCAGTAAGGAGGAGTGGAAGCAGAAATGTGAGAAAAGAAGCTGGTGGTGATGGCAGCTCCCAATACAGGTGAACTCCCTGTGGCATGGGGTGAGCAGTGAAGAGGGGAAGAGGTCTTTAAGTGGTCATTGAATGGTCACACAACAGGCAGTCACCTAGCATAAGAACATAAGAAACAGGAGCACTTGCAGACTATTTGGCTCCTTGAGCCTGCTTCTTCATTCAATATGATCTGATTTGATTGGGTTCTTGCCCAACTTTCACTACTCTTGATTCCTTTTTCTAACTCAGAAATACCACACCCCATGGTATCTTCCCAAGCAATCACAGACAGTGTAAAGCTTGCCCTTTCACCTCTGCCCTCTTCACTGTCCAATGCCCCAAGCCCATCTTCCTTGTAAAGCAACATTTTACTTGTACCTTTTCCAAACTAGTTTACTGCATTCACTGCTCACAATTTGGTCTCCTTTACATTGGTAGGAACAAACTCAAAGTGGGTGGCTTTACAGAGCAGTAGCCCCCTCCCCTGTCTGTAAGAATAACCCCAACCTTCCAGTTGTTTGTCATTTCAATAAACTGCCTTGCTGCAATACTAACATTTCCATCCTGGGCCGCCTACTGCATTCCAATGAAGTTCAGTGTAAGCTGGAAGAACACCACATTTTCCACTTAGGGAGCTTACAACCCCTAGGGCTCAACACTTGAGTGCAACAAGTTCAGAGCATGACCTCTTTCCTTCATTTTGATACAACTCCACCCTTGCTCCATCTCCAACACCTGTCCTAGCTGTGTGTTGCCTGTTGGCTTTGCTCTGAGCAGCAAAGACCCACTGTCTCCTTTTCTCACCTAACATTTACACCTATCTATCTCTCCTTTACCACCATCAGCACTCTTTTTGTCCTTGGTACCCTCCCATCTGTTCCCACATTGCTCATCCCACCCTCTCTGTCAGCAGCATAAAAGACACTATTTTCCAGCTCTTTTCACTTCTGAAGAAGTCATACTGGACTTGAAACATTTACTCTGTTTCCACCTCCATAGATGCTGCCAAACTTGCTGAGTTCCTCCAGTATTTCCTCTTTTTATTTCAGATTTCCAGCATCTGCAGTATATTCCTTTTATCTGTCCAACTTAGCCCTGAATACATTCAACGACTGTTTCATTCTTTGGAGAATGGAATTCCAAAGATTAGTGACACATTGAGAAGCTTTTCTTCCTCATGTCAGCATTGAATGGGAGACAACTTATTTTTATGCTTTGCACCCTAGTTCTGGGAACATCCTCTTATCATCTACCCTATTAAGCTTCCTCAGAGTAACACGTTTCAATATGATTGTTGCTCATTCTTTTAATTTCCAAAGATTATAGGCTGAATCTGCTAAACCTTTCCTTATAAGGTAACACCTTTATCCCAAAAATCAGCATTATGGTCCTTCCCTGAACTGCCTCCAATGAAGGATATCCTTCCTTAACAGCATTATGGACCAGACATGTATGCAGTATTCCAAGAGTAGTCTCATAATGCACTATACAGTTATTGCAAAATTTCTCTATTTTTATGTGCCAATCCTCATGCAATAAAGGTCTTAATATTAGCAGAGGTTGGTAGGCAATTGGCACAATGCCACTGCAATGGCATCCAATTTTATAAGCTCCTCCAGCCCAATAACCCCCAAACTAAAATATTTCATCAATTATGGCCTCTGACTCTTTCGCTTCAATATTGTCAGTTGCACTTTCAGCCTTTGAAAGCTCTGGATCTGCAAATGTCTTCATTCCTCCCTTTAGAGTCGAGATAAAACCTGTCTCTTTGACGAAGTATTTGTTCATCAGCCCTAAGTGCTAGATTTTACATGGTGTCCCACTCTTTGCCCCAATGCTAAAACTTCAACTGGAGCCTACCCAAGATCCAACAACTATCCCGCTGTAGTTTAAAAGTGAGAGTAATGTTAACTGCTTTAAGGCCAGACTTTCACTCCTATCTTGGGATGTTGTCTCACCTTGAAGAGCTTTAGTCAATCTAATAGGGAGCACTGGCCACTTCTAACACTACAGACAGTCCCAACAGACCAAGGAACTCGGGTAAATCTAGAAGAGTTCTCAATGAGAGAACTGAGAGGTAGAGTTCAAGTAGCTCACTGAGGGGAGTTAAAGTGGGCCAATGATCTTCAATGGGGTGCGTTCGATGGGCCAAGAGTACCTACAAATGAGGTTCACACAAGCCTTACCCAACAATTCCCACTCAGCTAAAGCAGCC